TATATTGTGTTACTTTTTTAATAACCTGTGTGTTTTGGCACATTTGTATTCATGTACCCACATATCAACAAAAGAAAATATGTAATATGGTGTGAAAATGCCTTAGTATGATTTGGAAATGTCTATCTGCAGCTCGCTTCTTCAAATTTACAACATGTGGTAAAGTTGCTCTTGTGTTAGTACCCATGGCTCTAATTCATTGTTTTTAAGGAGCTGTCAAGATTCCAGAATGTGGATGGGACAGTTTATTTAGTCACTCCCCTATTGTCCATAAATATTTAACTGTAGTGTGATCCTGGAATCTTCAAGAGAAAAGAGACTCTGGAAATCATATGAGATGACTGTCTTCCCTAGAGCCTGGGGGCCTTGCAATAGCACCCCTGGGTAGACATCACACACTACTGCTTGGATACTTAAAGAACCACATGGTCACTACCATAGAAAGATGCCCCAAATAGGACATTTGTTTGCTCTTCAACCATGATTGTTTCTTTTCCACTCACAGTCTTTCTTAGCTTCGTATTCAGAACCTCTTCTATTACCTCCTTCTCTATGACAAGGGGCTGCTATGTTCTCACTAGCCATTCTTGTCAATCCTTTGCCAAATTCTTTGTGATTTGGCTTCTGGACTGCATTAACTTCATCACAGCTCACTGTACACCCCTGAGCTGGGAAACTCTCCTAAGATGTCAGGGTGGAATGATGGAATGTAGAACACTAGATGTTGTCTGAATAGCCCTGGATATTTTAGGATTATCACTGCCCTTAACCTGGCCCTATATTTTTTACTTTACTATCTGGAAGGTAAGTACTCAAGGAAAGAAGCACCAGTAGATTTGGATCACACTGGAAACAGGCACTGGATGAACTGGGGTTTGGACTGTTCTGGAATGCAGAGCTGGGCAAGGCTTGGGGAGCAACAAGACGATCCTATGGGCCCCTGAACAATTCCAATGAACTAAAGGGATGGAAAGCATAATTCCTCCACCTGATCATTCGTCTGATGTCTTAGTTACTTTTTTCATTGCTGAGACAAAAATAACCAGAACCCAAAGTTAAAGGAGGAAAGGTTTATTTAGGTCACAGTTTGTAGAAGTTTTAGTTCATATTTGGCTGCCTCCAAAGCAGGGTGGCTTGGTAGACAGGTGTCACAGAGAAGAAATAGTTCATGGCTGGCAGAAGGCAGCAAAGCCACGAATAAGCCACAAGCAACAACCACCAACCTTCTTTCTCTCCTTTATATCTTATCCAGGCTTCCTGCCCTTACAGTGAGTACCCAAGTTAAGGTACCCTTAACCCTATCCAGAACTATGTCAAACCAATCTGCAGAGTAATTTAATAATCACACATCACTGACCTCAGCATCACACACTCCAGATCCAGCCACCTCCCAAAAGCCTTATCTATGACTGTCTGAGGATTTGTGAGGACATCTAGATATAAATCATGACACTTGGTGTGACCTATGGAAGAACACAGTCCTAAGGAAGCTAAGGCCCTGTCTTAGTTACTTTTTTCACTGCAGAGACAAAATACCCAACACCCAAAGTTAAAGGAGGACAGCTTTTGTTTTTTCACCTCAGAAATTTATTTGCAGCTCACAGTAGAGGTTTTAGTCAATAGTTGGCTGGCTGCAAGGCAGAGTGGCACAGTAGAGGGACTTTGCAGACGAGAAACCATCCATGGTAAAATGGACAGGTGGCAACGAAACAGCAAGAAGCAGGCTCCCTCTCTCTTTTATTCTATCTAGGCCACAAAGCCTTTGGGTGGCACCACCCACCCCCAGAATAGGGCTTCCATTATCTACACTCAGATCTATGCTAAACCAATTTAGTTATCATATGCTCTTTTTTTTTCCTCATTGAATTTATTGGTTCATTTTAGGTATACAGTACAGTTACATTGTCATTGGGATCTTGGATCATTAGTACCTCTACTTCACAGGTCTTGGTTCTCATTTTTCCCCATGCCTCTGCCCTCCCTTCACCCCTCCTCCCTTCCCTATTCACAAAAAGTTTATTTCCATCTTTTCATTTTCTAATATTTTTTCCTTATTACCTTTCCCCTACCCTTCCCATTTCCCCTACACCTTTAGCCCTTTTCTTCCTATTTCACATTGTCAGTTATACCATTAGGATCTTATGTACCATTGTAGTTTTTCATACCAGAGAAACTATTCGGTATTTATACATGTGTGACTTATTTATTTCACTTAAGAGTATATCCTCAATATGCATCCATTTTCCTATGAATGACTCTATTTTCTCATTCTTTATGGCTGACTTGTATTCCATTTTATAGAAAAAACACATCTTCTTTATCCAGTCTCCAACTGATGGGCAAATAGGCTGTTTCCAATCAATATGGAGATACCTCAAAGCACTAGGATTAGAGGTTCCATTTGACCCAGCCATCCCTCTGCTGGGTATCTTTCCGAAAGAATTAAAAGAATCATACCACAGTGATATATGCGCACCCATCTTTATAGTGGCACAGTTTGTAATAGTTATCACATGCTCTTAATCCCACTATCACACACCCTAATCCAGAATCAGATACTCATGATCTAGCCACCTCCCAAAAGTCCCACCCATGAGAAATACATGAGGCTTGGGGGAGTGAGGAGACATCTAGACACAGACCCCTGTAACAGGCCTATAACAGGCCCCATCCCTGCCTGCTAACTCTTACCACAGTGAGCAGTGTCTGGCCCCACAGACCTGGGTACAAATACTGGGCCAGAAATGCCTCAGGATTCCAGCTGGGAGTGCTGTGCTGAGGAGAAGCTGTTGAGATCAAACTCCTGTACTCTTCGTTGCATATAGGTAGATAACTGTTCTACTCTTGTTCACTTGTTCTAGGAATAGAATTAGGCAATGTGGAATGCAAGGCCTTTTGGCAGGGTTGACAAGAGGATGGAGTCTCATTTTCCTTCACAGAAAGTTAGTGTGGTGTAGTGTATTGGCTTCAACATGATTGGGCCCCCAATCCAGCCCTGCTGTGTATATCAGTCAATACACTTAGGTTGCAAGCAACAGTAACAAACCCAGGCCCATTAAAGCAGAAGATTTCCTAGAAGCAGATGAGAAAAGAGGGAGCTTACAGGCCTCATAGAAGGCTGAAAACTCAGGTTTAATTTCAACCCTGGAGCTAATGCATTCAAGATGCAGTGATCTGAAAAGTTCAGTTGGCCTGGTAGTTTGGTTTACAGTTCTAATCTAAAATGAGGAGCAAGGAGTGTAAGGTATCCCCATGGCAACCATTCTCTCTCTACCTTAGATAAGGTCAGGCAAGTCTCAGTTTTCTTATCTATACATTTCCTTTTCAGAAAGGATGAGTGTGCCCACTCACTTGGACTGCTTTTTAAAATACCTAGCACAGAGTAAGTGATCACTACTATTTTTAGCTTCAAGATGCTCCCCCAACCCCAAGGCATTTTCTCAGAATAGCCTCCACCTCCTGCTAATCAGCCCATCTGACTTCTTTCTAACATGTCCTCACTGCGTGCAGACCTTTAGTAGAGAAGCTCCTAATTGTTTAACTGGTATGTTCAAGAATAGCTTCCCGGGGCCGGGAATTTAGCTCAGTGGTTCTGCCACCTGCCTTGCAAGCACAAGGAGCCGAGTTCGATCTACGGTACCAAACAAACAAACAAACAAAAAAGAATAGCTTCCAGAGATCTAGAGAAAATTTCTACCCCCAGTGATTTCACATGGCAGACAGCTTTGAGAAGAAGGGGAACACAGAATGGGGGATGAATTTAATAACTGCATCACTTAATGAAAGCAATCTTTCTCTGTCTGAAGTCTTATCTGTTTTCTCACACTTAGGAAAAGCACAGACGCAATATATTTTTGAAGTCTTTATACAACATTATAAAATTAGACTATTTATTATGTGTGCGCTAATCAGAATGTATCAAATTTTTATCAAGCAACCAAAATAACTAACGCTTACGGATTGTGCATTATGATGTAAATCTAGGGCAAGGGGATGAATATTTTAGTAACTGCACTTAGTTCCTGTAAAGACAGACATGTTGATTCCTGGTAAAAATAGCGGGTAGGAAAGTTGTTTGCTGCCTGTACTTTTACATGTAGTTTGATGGTAAGAAATAGTCAACATCTTTGCCTTCTTCCTGCCTCATCCTTTTTCCTTACTCTTTGTTCCTCTTCTGCCCCTTTCCTTTCCCATTTGTCTTCCTTTCCTCTCTCTCCTCTCTATTCCTTGACATCTGACCTACATGATAGTGCTGCACTATCCCTGGGTCTTGACATGCACCATGCCAGGGTTATACTTTGGAATGGAGCAGTCTCCTTGATAAAATGAAATGAGCAAATAGAACAGGAGGTGAATAACTTGTTAGTCAGATACCCTTAATTGTAGCAATTAATTTGTCATTTATTCTCAAGATATTGTGTCCATCTAAGAGCTACCAAAGGTTTTAGAAAAACATTGAATATAAAGTTGGAAAGGAGTGGAAAAACTCCTCTAACTTTAGACAAGTTGTGCAACTGAGAAAGCCTGAGCCTCCTTGCTCTTTCTAGTATTTCACACAAGGCTACACATGTAGCAAACACGCAATAAACTGAGTAAGTAGGGCATAGTAATAACCATACACAGGTAAGTTCCCTGGGTTCCTTATCATTGATATCAATGGAATACTGCTTTCTTTCACGTTACATGGTTATAAGGATTAAATATGTTAATCTATGTGAAATGCTTAAAACAGTGAATAGCATATAGTGAGAAGTCTACATGAGTTACCCAATATAAAGTAGTTGCACTGGTCTGGCTTTTGTTAGGAAAATAAAAAAAAAAAAACATTCTTGGTATTCCGAATGGGAAGGAATTTCAAAGAAGGAATTAGAGGATCAAGATCTTTAGAGGAGCAGAGCGGATGCAAGCAACACAATCCCACCCCAGTGTTTGTGAGGTCATGAACTGCTGCACCAGTGTGGCGGGATTCTCAGGAGAATGCCTGATGCCTGGTGGGGAGCCAGATTCCTGCCTTCTCCCACTGGCATGGGAGAAACAAGCTTTCTGCTCTTCCTCCCCTTCACATTCCTCTACGTGCACCTCTCTGCTGTTACTCTTACAGAAACCAGAAAAGATGTCAGTTTCTAGATAGACTCCAGGTAAGCCAGTTTCCACGTCTTCAAGGCTCAGAGGAAGCCACAAAGGAGAGAAAATACCAGGCAGAGTGGGGATAGTACTCAGGGCAGATATGAAGACTACCTGAGATTGACAGTAGAAAAGCATATTGTGAACTTCTGAATTCCATCAGGATAGGAGAAGCGGATCGTAATGGAAGTGAAGTCGGATGAATGTGCCCATTCAGGGAATCCAAAGCCAGGTAGGAAAATCCGGGGAACGAGGTGGTAATGCGGTGAAGAATAGTCCTACAGATAATGAGGCACATTTAAGAATTTATTGTAGCCTGGCTCTGTTATGAATAATTTATACATGGTAACTCATTTAATCCTTACAAACCCCAAACAGCAGATACTGACCTTGTGTACATTTTACAGATGAGAAAACCATAGTCCAGAGAAGCAACTCATCCAAGGTCACACTTCTGATAAAATGGTCAGCCAGGATTTAATCGCAGTGATGTGTCTCCAGAGTTCAGTTTCCTCTTACTTTCCTGTAAAAGGAGAGAATGCTCAAACAGAAGTTGGCTGACCTCACCATGGGAGCTAGTTCTGGCTGAGCCCTGTTGCACTGACCAGTTTTCTAACCTTAGAGCAAAGGTTGTTTTGTAAAGCACAGCTTCTTACTTCACTCCTCTAGAAGCAATTATGTGCCACGATTAGGGATGTGTTCTCCTATCAAGGAGAATAAGGTCACACTTCTGATAAAATGGTCAGCCAGGATTTAATCGCAGTGATGTGTCTCCAGAGTTCGGTTTCCTCTTACTTTCCTGTAAAAGGAGAGAATGCTCAAACAGAAGTTGGCTGACCTCACACTCCTCTAGAAGCAATTATGTGCCACGATTAGGGATGTGTTCTCCTATCAAGGAGAGTTTGACAAAGTAACTGAGCAACTATGCTCCCGAAGGGCTGTCCCCCGAGCTGTAACCTGCCCTAGGAAACAGCTTTTCTTATTAGATTCATCTTCATTCAACCCACGGTGGCACCTGCTCCATGGTCTTCTGAGATCCAGGAAAAACTGGTTACTATTCAACAGTCACTAGAAAAGAAAAGATTTTTTAATTACTTTGCACATGACCAAAATAGGAAAGAGGAAAATGCATTAAGCAAACCGACCCTTGCCTTATTATAAGATTATGATAATCTCTACGCCTTTTCCAGGTGCTTATCTCCCAGTCTGCAGTACGTAAGGGAGAAAGGGGAGCATTTTCCTTAGAAAGCTAGGGCACCTATGTTTGGGCAAGAAAATAAAAATGTTCATGAAATATCGAGTTCAGGGGAAGCTTGGATATTATGACTTTGAATTTGAAAAGTTCTTACAACAGAAAGCAAGAAACAAAATCAAATCTTCCTCAACTAAGAAGCACATTAGCAACTCACGTGGCCTGGAAACAAGATTCTCTCCAAAACCTTCATTTGATGACTCAACATACATAAAAGGATTCATTTATCAGCCCCAGTGGCAGGATGATCAAAAATAGAGTCTTGCAGTAATTTTCCAAAACTAATTAAGGGGCTAAAATTTAGGAAGTAAAAAAAAAAAAAAACTAAATAAATATGGCTGAGAAAATGTAACACTTATCATTGGTAAGACATAGTGTTTTTGTTTTCACATTCCTGTGAGCAGAAATTGCCCAGTCCTTGTTAGGTATAAGCACTCCTATTAACTGAGAGACCTCAGTATTAGGAACCAAACTTTCCTGAGTCTCAGCACCTACCGTTGTTTTGTCTATATTCATATCCATACTATGTAAGAAAAGATGCAAACTCCCCAGTCCTCCAGTTGTTTCACTGTTAGATGTCTTGAGTGTTCTTCCTAGGCACTACAAAGGTCACTTTGGTCACAATTGTACCCCTCCACCTTGAGTTGGAAAGCTCCATCCCTGGGCCAAGTGGAGGTAAGGATGGAAGTGTTGTGGAAAAGTGAGGAGGCTCAGATCTCACTAAAAGTAGAACTCAGATAATTGTGGCTTGATTAGAGTGTTGGCCCATAAACTAGATATTCTTGTTCTTAAATAAGAATCTGAGTTGATATGTAAAAACCTCCTGATCTTTATACAACTACTAGTTCAACAATCTCTGAAACACTGAGTAGGTCAAGAAAGCATGTCTATGAGCCAGTTTCGTCCTCAGCGCCTTATAAAATGGCTCAGACCCATGAAAACAGGAACAAGGATAGTGTTGAGGGCAGAACCTATTGAGACTGATGTTGAGTTGGAGTTGTTTCTAACAACCAGGGATGTAGAGTCCCTGGGAGGACAAGACTATAAAAATAGCCTCACAGACATAGTCACAGGAGGCAGGATGAAGTGATGCAGCCATTTGAGCCATCTCTGAACAGCATGAGCAGAGGCGACCCAGTGTGAGTGAAGGGGAACTCAGCCTGTACAGCAAGGAGATCCATCTGGCTGTGGAGGATTCTCACCAAGATTCACCTACTGCTTTTGCTACAAATTTTAAAGTTGAATTTAATAACTGGGAACCTATTTTAATTCAGTTAATGTATTGACTCCAACCACGGCCCACTTGATAATACTACGGTGACCATTACATGGTTACTTCTGGGATAATGGACATTTGGGTTCCCAGTACATTAATGTTTGAAGAGTAGGGTGCATGGCCTTTCAAAGGGAGTAGGGAAGGAGGGCAGAGAGGATCGCGCATACGCAGCTGAGTGCTTTAGAGTTTCTCATCAAAGACCCTTTCTGACCTGCCTTCCCTGAGAGAATGCAGGGGACCTCGGGGCTCACACATTAGTTTTGCACGAGTGAGTTTTAATTAAAGCCCAGGGCTTTAAAAGCTCCAGGTTTCCCGCAGGTAACCTTTCAAACCACAGTTCCTTCTTTCAGAGAATTCAAAGCTTCTTAAGAAAACAAGGTGGCATTTTATCGAGGAGTGATCTTGTTTCCAGAGTTCTTTTTCTTGATGTGTTTTTTAATGTTTTGCGGTTTGCTGCTCACCGTTCACAGCGAGCCCTATCTCGGCGTTCTAGAGATGGGGAAATGAAGTGGAAAGCCTGCCCCCTGGTGCATTCTATGATGCCCCACTCTTCCGGGCAGCTGAGGGTTCAGCTCTGGCTGGGCAGCCAGCCGTTTGTGAAGGGGATCTCAGAGCAGGGATATTCCTGGGACTGCTGCTTCTTGCAGTCTTCTTAGTTGGCACTGACACTTCCCTGTGGATATACCATGTTGGATGGTGGAACTCAGGGTCATTTCTGCTCACTCCAGGTCACTGTGGCCACAGGGGCAGTAGGCACTGTTATTTTCTCTATTTTATGGACAAGAAAATGAAAGAAGAAGGGGTGTAGATGATGTTGTCAACAACTGTAAGCCGACAAGCCAGCCTGGCTTCAAACCCATGCAGTCCAGCTCCAGATGTTGTTCTGGGAATGCTACTCTATCCTGCCTCTCATACTTTCCCTGCTGTTAGCAAACATCTAGATGCAAACAATCAAATACATCCATTTGGCTTTCAGCATCTACAAGTTCAGGTGCTTTGCTGCCCTATGGCTAGACTTCTCAGCAATCTGCAGGTTTAGCTGCCTACGGCGCCCCCTGGCGGATGTTGCGCATCGCCTGGCTGGCAAGTGCGTAACATTAAACTGCTCATTAAAGTCTGTTAGGTCACTAGCTCATGCAGTGAGGCAGGGAGTGGAAGATCCCAAGGAGAATCAACTTGTGGGCATTATGAGAACCACTGGATAATAGTAGATTTTCACCTTTTTCCAACCCAAACCCCATAGTTAGTTTGCCAATAGTTCCTAGTCTTAAAGTGGTCTAGATACTGTTAGCTTGAAAATGAGCTTCCTTCCACGTCTATTATTATTACCTCGATAACTCAGGAGAGAGATTCTTGATGCATTCAGAGGCAATACATCAAGAGGCATTTCCATATGATTTGATCAACATGTTTCTGAGTGTCCTGAGCAGTTGCAGGGGCAGAGTTGGCGCCTGCTTCAATGGTGCTTTCTAACTGAAAACCTAAAAGCCAACACCAATGAATGTGGGGAAGAGAAAGAAAGGAACAATGCTGAATATCATTTTATGTGAGTCTGTGAGGAAGACAGTGCCATCCTCATCCAGATCATCCAGAGGAGGAGAGGAAAGAGAAGCTTACAGATGTCTCTGTGTGCCCAGCGCTTTACTTGGCCCATGCTCTTGGATCCTCAACTTCCAAGTGAGTTAAATATTATTATATGCATTAATAGATGTGGCCACTGCGGGCAGGAAGAACAGAATGTAAACTGGCACTGACTCTAGGACTCTTGTACACTGCGTGGGACTAAACTGACAACAGATGGAGAATAGGGGACAGATGAGAAGGTAGGAAGGCCCGGGCTTCATACAAGCTCTGTCTTTTACTGAGATTCACTTCACATATACCACCAGTCAACAAAGAAACCACAGGGAGAGACTTGCTCTTCTTCCTTGTGTCTCTGTAACTGAGTCTTGACCGGTTGCTGAAAAAATGTTTTGTATCACAGAAGGCATAAATTAATACCACCTGAGGGTAATGGACGAAAGCACAAGGTATACTCAGAAAGATAATATATAAGTCATGATCACTATTCTCAGGACCTCTTCTATGATTTTAATTCTCAGTTGTCTCTCTAGACACTCCCCCAAATGTGTCTGAAGTTAAGAACTAAACCTCCCATCGGAACATGGAGCCAATGTTTAAGACTTGTCCAATCCTAGGAGGCTGCCTGGTGAGCAGATTTGGAGCTCACTGAGTGTCTCATTCTCATTGCAAAAGACCCTATGAGTTCTAGTGATACCTACATCCTTCAGTGTAATTATCTGTTGAAGGCTGGCTAGCTAAGGAGACCCACAGCACGGTCTGTGATGAGTGAGACCTTGGTGCCTCCAGAGCAGATTGTCACAAGACTCAGGGCAGCCCGGACAGGGCCCCATTACTGCAGACCCAGCAGCTTGAGTTTATCAGTGCCACCAAGTTGATCCAACACAAAGAGGCTGCTTCTATTACCTAAAGTGCTGAGGTTAATGGGAAAACCAGAAGGCCAGGGTGATGTGTAATCATGCAGAAGGCAGGCTTTCTGTTTGTCTGACTAGGGAATTTTTCTCATTATAAAAAGGAAAAATAAAAACCAAACCATTGACTATCTCAAACCAAGATTAGGAAAGAGATTTAGACAACTCACAATATTAATATTTTTCTTCATTTTGAAATTCTGATCTATTTCCTCTCTAAAGTAGACCATACACAGGGGCAGGACAGGACATGTCCAGGGAGAGACACCCTTTATTCTGGTTGTTTCTTGAATAGGCAGTGCTATACTGTAGGTTGGCCCTTTATTTTCATTAGGAAAGGCTTTAGGCAGACATGTGGTTCTGGCTCATAAAGCACTTGATTATGAAGGTAACTTTTGGGTGTCTGTGATTATCTAGCAGCCTTTAGGGATCTATCACCAGTTCAAACTGGGAGCAGTTCAACTGGGAGTAAGCATCACCTACACGGTATTAGGAGCTAGCAAACAGACCCGGGCAGGCCCTGGCCCTCAGACAGTGGGTCCCAGACATGCCATCAGCTAGGTATTAACAGCAAACCCTGATTTCTGTGAACTATCAGCCATCCCAAGATTCAGCTGGGAGGTTCTCTGGAGGCCCATGGACAAATTCCAGATAGGAACCTTCTGCTGCTGAAACCCCCTGTTGGTTAGGAACAAAGTTCAAGGGACCCAAGTAGGAAGCGCATCATCTTTGAGTTAGACACGAAATCCCACTGCACAGTCACTGGAGAGAAAGGTCAATAACCCTTTATCCAAAATTCAGAAGGCTCTGAAAAGAGTAAACCTTTTCATAAGTTTGATGCTCAGACACATTTGGTAGAAAAGAATTTTATATCACTTAATGTAAATGCTCCAGTTTAGCCACAGAAATAACATTTGTGATTATGTAATAGTGCCCTCACCTCTGAAGGAGGTGCTACATAGTATATAAACTGCACATGCTATGTCACCTTTCTAAATTCCAAAATTATCTGATTTGTGGGGCACAGCTGGCCTCAATAATGTTGGATAAAGAGATGCAGATCAAGAATAGCAATAATAGCAGTTAACTCATATTTCAGGCCTAGCACCTACATACTTTATCTCTATTCTATCTTTTTAAAATCTTATTCTTTTATTTTTAACTTACATAAAAGCTGTGCATATTTCTGGGGTATCGCGTAATATTTCCAGATATATCCCCATACGTTGTTGTGTGTGTGTGTGTGTGTGTGTGTGTTTGTATGGAAAAAATACTCAAAATCCTTTCTTCTAGCCTTTAGGAACTACAGAGTACATTATCATTATCCATAGTTACCATACTGTATGAAACAACACGAGAACTGTTTTTTTCAGTGTCTTATAACTTGGTAACGGTTCCCTAATCTCTCTCTATCTCTCTTTGCCTCACTTTCTCCAGCCTCTAGTAGCTACTGTTTTACTCTCAACTGTTCTTGCCATGATTATAAGAAATGAATGTTCTCACTTTCATCTTATTGATAATGTGGGAAAACTGAGACCCAGAGAAATAAAATCATATGCTCAACAAAGACACACTTAGCAAGTGGCAGAGTTGATACTCAAACCCAACTCCCAACTCAGAAACTTGACTTTTTAACCACTGTCCTCTGCTGAGATGAAGTGATGTTAACTGAGCAATGTCCTGCTGCCTCCCTAAATGGTCTTGTTTTCTGGGCCAGAAATGAAATCTTACCTCAAACCAGCAATGAGTCTTTATCTTGGGTTCAGATACAATATGCATGGAGAAATCAATTGGTTAAAGGAAAAGCTTATGCTTTATAGCACAATTCCCGATAACAGCAATCATCTAAAGTATTTGTATGTTCAGGCCTCTTAACCCTGGTAATGACTGCTTTTCCTCAAGACAGAGTCCTGCTTGGCTGAGCCTTGTTTGAGAGAGACCTCTGCAAGGCAGAGCAGGACCTAAGGCAGTCCCTTGCAGGGCCTGGATCTTGTGAATGAATCCTTGAAAGAAGCTGAATGATCCCTTCAGGGCTGGGGCACTAAGTCAGCGCTTTCTGAGAGATGCACTTGCAATTTCCAGAGAGGGATCTAGAATACCTTTTTGCACCTGGCTTTTTACTGTGACAGCATCCACTGTGATAGGCAGGTTTACTACCTCCTGTCTGTTGTGGTGCTGGGTAAAAATTTCTCATAGACACAGTAAGAACATTGAGAGTTTGCTTCCTTTCCTGGACCCCATCTAGTGTGCTAATACAAATCCTTCTAATTTCCAGTTTGAAAGTCATACCACTTATCTGGTTGCTACAAAGGCTTCATCTCTCCCACCCTCACAGGGTTGACTTTTCCAAACAAATCCTATGTAATGGAATAAAGATCAAATTGAGCATCCCAGGTGCATCTCTTCTTAGTGATCCAAAATTTCCACAAAACTGTTTCATCCTCTTCAGCTAGGAAGGGCCAAGAAATGTGTGTGGCTTCTGAGGAGCAGAAGGCATTTATCTCTGTAGAATGGGGTACTTAGGCTACTTTTCCTGCCTCGATGGGTCCCTAGATGAGTTTTGGATTTGTATAATTACCTACTGCTTTCTAGAGGCAGTGTACTAGAACAGTCACCACCGTGGGCTTTAGAATCATATACTCTGGAATCAATCCCCAGCCTGATCCCTGTTATTAGTATGACCTTGGGAAAATTATTCAGTCATTGTAATACTCAGTTTCCAGTTCTACCTCCTTTTTTCATGAAAACTATCTCTCAAGATCACTTTGGGCATTGAATGAGGTAATGTCTGATAGACATTTAACATAATTCCTGGAACTGAGAAAGAAAAGCTATTATTGTTTAGTGTAATACAGGCACCTACTTGCAAACCAGGCATTGACCTGCAGTGCTGATGCCCTGGGAAGTCCTGCTAGCACAGTCTATGTTCTTGTATCCATGTGCACACTGCCTTCACAGACATGGGCCACTCATATGTTCCGTTGTTCCAAGAAATATATGAAGGAGAATCTGAGTTAGAGATTTCTGCAGAAGCAAGTCCATAGCACACTGAGACATGCCAGGCAGTCTGTACAAGAACCAGGTAGCTGAAAAAAGAGACAGATATAAAGAAGCATTTCCCTGCATTCTAGGGCAGGACCTTTTTCCACCAGCCGGTACCTGCCGGCCCTTATGTGTACTCCCTGTAGGATCACCCCAGGTTTCTGTGTCTATGGGTAAACTCAATAAAACTTGCAAAGGGGCATCAGTCCCAGGCATCTCGATCGATCAGCATCTTCCCAGTTGAGAGTTACAGGTCTCCACCCCTACACAGAACTCACTGGGAAGTCCCCTCCGCCCTTCACTCACCTGTCTCTTGCCTCATAGAAGGGGGCCTGTTGTTCCTGAAAGAAGATCTACTTTTCTTGTGTCTGGACTCCCTTTTGAGGAAATGGTCAGAGATAGGGCCTTTTACTTCAGCCCCACCAGGCCGCCAACGTATCCCTCTCCCAGAAGTCTATGCTTTGGAGATGGGAGGGCAGGGGGCAGGGTTTGAGCGCTAGATGTGAATTTTCCATTCTTATGTGGAAAATTCCATAAATTTCTCACTGGCATTTACCCTCTTTGGAATAAACTTCTAATTGATTTCTTTTTTTTTTCCTTTTTATCGAGTTTATTGGTACATTCTAGGTATACAGTACAGTTACATTCATTACTGGGATCTTTACATAACAGGTCTTGGTTCCCATGTTTTCCCCTTGTCCCTGCCCTCACTTCACCCCCCTAATTGACTTCTAAAGAATGCTGCTTGCAAATTAAATTACACTTTCCTTCTACATAATGTAAAGAAATATCCAATAGTCACCTCTCCTGGGTACACATCCCTCCTCTGGCTCCTGGACTGTGATTACATTACTGCCATGGCATTGCTTCCATTCAACTCAAGCTGCATGAATTGTTCCTCTTGCTTGTTTAATTGCCCATGTCTTATTACAGAGACAATTTATTGTTTTAGTGCAGCATAAAGTTCAAATATTTCATGAAAGATGAATGTAGCCACTGACGTTTTTATGCCCTTCTCAAATTCACACATACAAAACTCATGCTGAAAAGTTCTCAAAACAGTTGTGGCCAATAACCACAAAGTGTCAAACCCTCTATGCATTGATTTTTTTTTTAAAAGGAGAGATTCTAAATAATATGTTCCATACTGAGATGTGTGAATTTTTGCCATTGGATAGAAAATGAGGTTAGAAGACTACAGCTTGGAGTCTTAAGTTTTCAACTACTTCTTCACGATTTGAGCACTTGACCGTTACCCATTTTATTTGAAGTGTTATTTTAAAAATAAAGGTTCATCTGTCCCCAAAATAAATTAATTAATAATATGTTCTTTCCACAGATTTGTTAGGGATCTTGGGGTGAAACTGACACGTTAGCAGTGAACTACAGAGATGCACACGACTACCTGGATGATAGCCAAAGAATTGTCTTGAATTAAAAATAAAATCCAATCTCCAGAGGCCACACACTACACGATTGCATGTGTGTCACATTCTCAAAATGCAAAACTATAGAACTGGAGAAAGTGGTGACTGCCAGAACTTAGGAAGACAGGTAGGAGGAAAGTGAGTATAGCTATAAAGGGGACCACATGAGATCCTCGAGGTGCTAGAAACGTTTTATATCCGACTACACCAACGTCATTGTCCTGGTCATGGTGCTGTACTGCAGCCTTGCAAGATGTTATCCCTGGAGAAAACTGAGTACAGGTGCACAAGATTTCTCTGCATTATTTCTTACTACTTCATGTAAATCTTTATAAAATTATCTTGGAATATATTTAATTCAGAAGCACATTGCAAAATAAGGTGGCTAGAAGGCTAAAGTGTAGATGTATGAAAAGGGTAGGGATGCAAGGGTATCCTGCAGAATTCTTTCAACTTTCCTCCATATTTGAAAACTTTCATCAGAATATGTTGGAAAAAGTATATTGGAAACATGAATAATAACTTGTAATAACTATCTATTCAGGGGAGCAGATACAGGATAGGACCTAATCTGTGCAGTGAGGGAAATCAAAGCTCACCATATGGCCCAGAAGGTGGAGCAGAAGTGGGTCTGTTTGTATGTGAGGAAAGAAGGAGGTCCCTGAGGAGAGAGACTAGGTGTTTGGAGTGCACAGACCTCTCTGGTCCTTCTAGAAGCCGGAGAGCAGCTGGACCCCACCCCAGAATTCCCAACACAGCAGAGCCCTGAGCACTGACACGAGATGAGGGAGTCTGGATCGCCCCAGGCTAGAGCCAGTGCTCATCACTTTGCCAGGATTCCCTGAGCTAAGAATATGGACAAGAGCAAAACGTGAAGTTCATGATGCGTATTCCAAAGTATAAAACCGCATTTGTTCAAATTGTGTTCCAATCATTTCACAACAGTGTTAAAATAATACAATCCAGCAACGGCGCAGTGTCCCCGGGCTTTCTGTGTTCTGACCTGGTCATGCAGAGGCTGGGGCTGCTGAGGGATCTGAGATACTCTGTCTTCCCACTGCGGCCGGTTCCCGTGACTTCTCTCCTCCTCTTCCTGCCATCTCAGGCCTCCAGGCCACATTTCTCGTAAATTGTCTTTCACTTGACAAAACAAAAACTGATGTCCTTGCCAAAACCATCCAGGTAGGTAAGGAAGAAAGTACTCAAGTGAGCAAAGGAGGGGCTGGAACATGCCCTGTTCACTGTTGTAGCCTTAAAATACCTTCTACTCACTCTCATCTTCTTCACAGATTCCTCCCGGGCTCCTTCAGACCCAGTTTTCCAGCCCCCCTGCTCAAGATATTCTTACAAAGGAAAATGCAGCTCCTCCCCTCTGAAATGTAAAGCCTCAATAAGGAAGTATTCCCTCTTGCCCCACGGAAAATAAAGCCTTCCTCTAGCTAGTTTTTCTCACCCTCACAGTCTGTGATGATTGTCATTCTGAGCAGAATGCATGGCCCAGTCTATTTTTTGCTTTGATGTGCATCTATTATAGAATCTACAACACTATGCTGAAATTATTGCTTTTCTACTTGTCTTCTCTAACAGCCTTGTAGCAACCTGAGGGATATATCTGAATTATTCCCTTGTCCTCATAATAAAGTACATGCTTAGCTGGTGGATGGCTGGAGTAAATGGTGGATGGAAGGATAGATGGATGGCTGGATGGATGGATGGATGGATGGGATACGAATGGGATACCAGACCTCAGGATCACAGGTGAGAGGGGTTTGGGCAGTGCTTTCTGATGTATGGAGAATTAAATATTAGCTGCAGTGACATGAGACAAATGTAGGTAAATGAATGAACCTTAAGACCATAATTTTAAGTAAAATAAATCAGATGCACATGCTTAAATATTGCATGGCTTCTTTTATATGAGAAACCCCCAAAATATACATGAAGAACAAAATAAAACAGATAATAGGAAGGAGAGAGTTCTTTTTCAAATGGGAGAGGAAATAAGAGATGGAAGGAGAGAGGAGGGAGAGGAAAGAAAGGCAATGAAGAAAGAATTGAAGAAAAAATAGAAATACAGCTTTTGCAGATGGGAATGGAATCAAAAGTTGGAAGGAACAGGGAGAGATAGAAAAAATAGGGGACAGTAAAAGAAATAAGGACATGTACCAACTTCCCATGATAAGTGTAATCATTATGTACTTCAAACAGGCACTAATAAATAAGCAAACAAATAAATATTTGCATGGAAGTATAGTATAGTCTATAAGTAGCCAGCATAAGAGCAAAAGAGATATCAGAGCTGTGAATATGTCAGATCTGTCTCAAGTACTTTTGATAAAATAGAGCTAATCCAGCCTCAAACAGTAAATACAACTTGGGATGGCCTGAATGTCTGTGCCCCTATCCTATCACAATTTGTACACTGAAATCTAATCCCAGTGTGATGGTATTAGGAGGTGGGGCCTCTGGGAGGTGACTCGGTAATGAAGGCATAGCCTCATAAATGGAATTAGTGTCCTCTGAAGGTACAACAGGAAGGACCATCTCAGAGCAAAGAAATGGGCACTCACCACACTTAGAATCTACTGACACTTTGATGTTGGACTTCCCATCCTCCAGAACTGTGAAAAATCAATTTCTATGGTTTATAAATCTCTCATTTTATGGTATTTTGTAACTTCAGCCCAAATAGACTAAGACGCAGCCGTTTCAGAAATCATCTTTGGATGTCATGTGAAACACACAGATGATACTAAGCTGATATCTATAGAATTAATCCCTCCCAAAGCACCCTCATGAGTTGTGGTCATGGAACACTATGAGAACATAGAACCATATTGACCTGGAACTCACTATGTAGCCCAGGCTGGTCTTGAACTCACAGCAATCCTCCTGCCTCAGCCTCTTGAGTGCTGGGATTACAAGTGTATGCCACCACACCCGGAAGACCCACACAGGTTTTAAGGAGGCTTCATTGGCAGTGTGAGGCCTGGTACTTTTGGAAGACAGTAAGTTGTCTCAAACTTGGCCTGTAAACAGAGGGATATTTCTCTACTATGGAACATTTGTAGATCCTCTTTCAATTCAGACCTTTTCCATCACCATAACAATCTTATCTCATGGTGACCACTGGAGAAGAAAGAAACTATCAAAACAGAGAGGAAAACTTTACTAAGAAGCTGCAGAGATCTCAGCTTCTTTAGAGAGCTCTCACATTTCATGATATCACTCAAAAGTCCTTGTCTGAAGGACAAATACACTATTCCCTGTGTGGCTACAAAGCTATCTATGTCTTTCTGGTCATCCATTAGAGGAATTCCACAATTCTATAAAGCCCTCCAAGTTATAAATGTCTAAATTTGTTCTCATCACAAAAAGGAAATTGATAAAAGCTTTAAGATTTTTTTTTTATTAAAAATATGCAGACTATCTTACAAGTGCCCAATTAACCATCACAAAATTACCTTTCTCAGGAAAACACACAAGAGGAGACAAATTCAGGTCAAGGTAAGTCTGGAAATATCCAAGGACTATGCCCTTAAACTAGTGCACTTATTAGAGCTAACCTTGGGTCTAGAAAAGTACCGTACACTGAGGCATCCAACCAAGGCCTGGTACTTCCCTAGGCTGGTTCCCAGTTCAAGTATCTTCTCTTTTTTTTTGTTTTTTGTTTTTGTTTGTTTTTTTTTTTTTTTTTTTTTTTTTTTTTTTTTTGGGTTTTTCCTTGTTGAACTCAGGTCCTTGCGCTTGCAAGGCAGGCCACCGAACCGCTGAGCTAAATCCCCTGCCCAATTATCTTCTATAATCTATAACTCAGCTTCATTACTTCCTCATTGATCATATTTCCTAGATAAAATCAGAATCAATTCCAGTAGACACTGAACTGTCAATTTGTACAGAAACTTCATTTTTGGGTCATAACACCTAACATAATGCCTGGTACACAATACTCCATTAACCTTTGCTGAATGGAATTTTGCAGACCAACCAATTCAAGCTGTATAGTTTAGTGGTTAGGAGCACAGACTTGGGAGCCAGACTTCATGTCCAAATCCAATAACTGTACTTTCCAGCTGTGACCTTTATCACATTTCTTGTACTTTAATTTTCTCCTTTGAAAAAAAGTGAGGATAATGGAAATAGACTATTGGTACTGGATATTACTGCACTACTACAAGTACTACATGGATGAATATATTTCAAATTTTTAGAACAGCATTGTGCTAGTTGGCTTTGATTGTCAATTTGATTGGATTAAGAGATTCCTGGATAGGTGTCTGGATCACAGGGCCATGGTACTCATCAGTGGATTAATCCACTGACTTTCACAGCTCATTGTGCTGTAGGAGGTGTTGGAGGTGGATCACTGAGGGTTTGCCTTTGGAGGGTGTATCTCTGACAGGTGCTCTTTCCCTCTGCTTTGCTTCCTGGCCACCGTGAAGCGAACAGCTTTGCTCTATGTTACAGAAGGAATCAGTAAGTGACACACAGAAAGGCAGCAGAATGGAAGTAAAATAATAAATTTACTTATCGATAAGGGTCGATTGCACATAAGCCGTGCCTGGATCCATGACACACTGGGTTACAACTCCTCCCTTAATAGGGTTTTACAGCCTTGACTTCATTTGGGTGGATACATTTCATTCTCACAGTTCAAATCACGGTCACAGAATAGTTAATCTTTTCAACCCAGACGTAACAGTTCTTTACAGTTGGGGAGTTTACCTTTAAGATTCACCTAGTTATTCTAGCCCATAGGAAGCGGGTGTTCAGGGTCAGGGGAGCAAATGTTAGCAATGGGTTCTTTCATTTAGACACTTTTACCATCAGGTGGCTCCAGTCTCATCAGAGCTCAAGACCTTGACTCTTATCTCAGGTTTAGACCAAATGCCTCATTCAGCATTTAGTGCCTTCAGTGCCTGTTAGTTTTGAGCTAAACAAAACAAACTGCTGTCAGAGACAGCAGAAACCATTTTACATTGTAACACTTTATAGGTTTTGCTATTTATAAAAGTTTTCCCTATGGCTATATGACACCCTTCTGCCATGATGATCTTGTCATGGAATCAGCTGAGCTTGGACTCAAACCATGAGCCAAATTAAACTTCTCCTGTAAGTTGC